AGCTTTTATTCTTTGTAAGCTACCCACTTTATGGTGCTTCATTACAGAAGCAGAACCCTCTAACACTTTGCTTGGTTCACCTCCCTCTTTTCACCCAAGGACTAGGGAGGGATTTTCATGGGAGTGAGCTATAGTGGTGCTATGCTTTCTCCCATCAGCCAGATTGTTTGTCCACCAGCACCCTCCCAGCCCTTGCTGAACAGCTGTCCCCTCCCTGAGGCTTCTAGGGAGTCTGTAGTCCAAGTGTCTAGGAAGCTGACAGGTGACAAATGGAAGTATGATTCCTCTGTTTCACTCTTAGCTATATATTTTCCAAAAAAAAATGAAGTCAGCATTCAAAAGATGTACTTGCTAACCCATGTTTATTGCAGCACTATTTGCAGTGGCCAAGATATGGAACCAGCCTAGGGGCCTGTCAATAGATGAATAAACAAAATAAGACATAATGCACAATGGGGTATGGTTCAGCAGTTAAGGCAAGAAAAGAAGTGCAGTCATTTCCAGAGGAAAAAGAAATCTACAGAACTAGAGGATGTCAGGTTAAGAGAAATAAGCTAGACACTGACAGACAAATGCCTCATGGCATGTCTTGCATCATATCTGGAAACTTTGAAGAAACATGATTGAAATGTAGAAGGTAAACTGTTAGGGACTAGGAAAGAGCAGTGAGGAAGGGAGAGATGATAGAAGAATGGTGAGTTCACATGATCAAGGCATGATGCACCCAGGTATCAAGCAATCACAATGAATCCTGTTAAATCCTACAATTTGTAGAAAGAAAGAAAGAAAGAAGAAAGAAAGAAAGAAAGAAAGAAAGAAAGAAAGAAAGAAAGAAAGAAAGAAAGAGCAATCACAACCCCAGACTTTAAGTATTATTACAAAGCTACAGTGATAAAAGCAGTATGGTACTGGTATACAAGCAGACACAAGGGGATCAATGAAACAGAACAGAAAAAGAAGAAAGAAAGAAAGAAAGAAAGAAAGAAAGAAAGAAAGAAAGAAAGAAAGAAAGAAAAAGAAAACCCTCAATCACATTCAATTATTTGAACTTTGACAAAGGGGCCTAAAGCATAGCCTGGAACAAAGCCTTTTTATGAATAGAGTTGGGAAAACTAGCTATCCACATGCATAAGATTGAATCTAGATAAATATACTAAGTTAAAATCAAAATAGATCGAAGAATTAAATGTCAAAACAAAAACATTTAACTTGCTTAAAATATCTCTTTTTTATGTATTTGGTTGTTGCGGGGTCTCACTTCGCAGCTCAGACTCATGGTGATCCCCCCTGCTCTCAGCCTCCCCAGTGCTGGGATTACAGGCATGCACCACTAATCCGGACTGTGGCTGGCTCAACCTGCCATGAGGCGGGGCTGGCGTGGCATGTGGTGTCAGGGATTGAACCGTGGTCCCTGAGCTTTTGCCTAAGCTTGCCTAAGCAGGCGCTTTAGTCCACTGAGCTATCTCACCAGCCCCTAAAATAGCTCTTGAGGTCATAGGCATAGGCAAGGACTTTTGTGAGCAAAACCCCAATTGTACAGACAATAGTATCAAAAATCAACAAATAGGATCATATCAAATTAAAAAGCTTCTACTCAGCAAAGGAAACAAACAACAGAATGAAGAGACAACCTGCTAAATAATATGGAAAAATATTGCCAGTTATTCCTCAAACAGAAGATTGATATATATATAGAAGTAAGGGGGGCCGGGGAGATGGCTCAGTGGAATAAGCACTTCCCTGGCAAGTGCAAGGGCCTGAGTTTGATCCCTGGTTCCACCAAAAATAAAATAAGATATATATAGAAGTGAAAAAAAAAAAAAGACTCCTCCAAAAGAGACCCAATCAAAAAAATGGTCAAATGAAATGAATAGACACTTCTCCAAAGAGGAACTACAAGTAGCCTATAAATACATGAAGAAATGCTCAACATTTCTGGCCCTTACAGCAATGGAAATTAGAACAACATTGAGAGTCCACCTTACCCCCATAAGAATGACCTTCACAAAAAATCAAATAATAATAAATATTGGTGAGGCTGCAAGGAAAAAGGAAAACTTTTTCATTGTTAGTGGGGCAATAAAATAGTGCAACACTATAGAAAGCAGTATGAAGATTCCGCCAACAGCTAAAGCTAGAAATTTCTTTGAACCCACTACTTCTCTTCTGGATACATTATCTTCCCAAGAGAGTTAAAGATTCATACCACAGTGATACACTCACCCGCCCGCCTATAGTGGCACAATTCACGACAGCAAAGTATGGGAAGCAGCCTATATGTCTGTCAACAGGTGAATGGATAAAGAAAATGTGGTATGTACACACAGTGGAGCACTACTCTGCCAGAAAGAAAGATAAAGTTTAGTCATTTGAAGGAAAATAGATACACCTTGATATAATGTTAAAGGAAATAAATCAGGTGCACAAGCTTAAATACCACATGTTTTTCTTATATGAGAAACCTAAAATAAAGCAAAATAGAGTAAGATAATAGGAAGTAGGGAGATAAGGCATTTCTCAAATAGGTAGGGAACCAAGTGATAGAGAGAGAGGGGAAGGAAGGGAGTGGGAGGGAATGAAATGTGTTATGCACACATAGCAACTCCGCAGAAGGAATCTAAACATTAGATACTGTAAAAATGTACCAATAATCAACAAACGGAATCACATCAAATTGAAAAGCTCCTGCATAGGAAAGGAAACCATCAAATGAAGAGATAACCTACAGCATGAGGAAATATTTTGCAAGCTCAGACAAGGACTAATACCTTTAATATAAAAAGAACTCAAAAAATTAAAGCCTCCAAATTGAAAAGTCCAATCCAAAAATAAATGGGCCTGTGAAATGCAATAAACACTTTTTAGATGAAGAACTACAAACAACAAAAAATACATGAAAAAATATTTAACGTCCCTGGCTATTTAAGAAATGCACATTAAAACACTGAGATTCCATCTTACTCTGGAAAGAGTGGCTATCAGGAAATCAACCAACAACAAATGCTGGAGATGCTGAGGGTGGGGCAAGGAACACTTGCCCACTATTGGTGGGAGTAGAAACTTGGTACTGGTGGAAACCAGTTTGGAGATTCCTCCACAAGCTAAAACTAGACATTTTTGACCCAGTTCTTTACCATGTAGTATCTAGATGTAATAGCACATGATGGACACACATTAATTTTTTTTTTTTTCAGGAGCAGGGATTGAACTCAGGACCTTATGCTTACCAGGCAAGCGCTTATTCTACTGAGCTATCTCCCCTGCCCCACATTAATGTTTATAGCAGTGCAATTCATGGTAGCCCAATCTTAGAAGCAGCCTACATGTCTATCAACAGATGAATGGATAAAGAAAATGTTTTTATACACAATGAAGTACTACTTTGTCATAAAGATAAACTTGTGAGTCATTTACAGGAAAAATGGATGTACTTTGAGACCATAATGTTAAATGAACTAAATTGGACACACAGGCTTGAATAGTAAGTGGTTTCTCTTTCATGAGAAATCCAATATATAAAGTGCAAAATAAGACAGACAGTAGAAAAAAAGAAAGAGAAAAAAATGTCACTATAATCCAGCAAGGAGGGCTGGGGAGATAGCTCAGCGGTCTAAGTGCCTGTCTAGCAAGCACAAGGACCAAAGTTCAATTCCCAGTTCTGCATGCTGTGCTGGCCCCAGAACCCCAGGGGCTAGGGGGCAGCTGAGACAGGAGGATCACTACAAGTCTAAACTGTGTATCCAGACCTTGTATCATATAATCCAGCAAGGATAATGTATCTAAAAGTGTACTTTGATTGTGTATAATTGTTTTACTTGCTTTCTATGTTTTGGGCCCTGTTATTCTGGCTGCTAATCTGTATGTATGAAAATTAACTTCATAAGGACTTATAAAAGAAGTAAATGAGTCTGATGCTGGCAAATCTTTTTTTTTCTAAAAGTGGGAGAAGGGGCAAAAAAGAAAGGAGAGGCACTATGCACACTTACCAATGCCCACAATGACTGTGATCATTACATACTGCAAACATGTACTAATGAAAACAAATAAAAATTTAAAAATGAAAATGAAAATAATTTTTTTAAAGAAAACTAGTTAAAAATGTGAGAAATGTGAGAACATGAGAAATTTCTCTAGCACGCTGAGTAAATAAGAACAGCTAATATCTGGTGACTGGTAAAGGCACTTTAGAAATAATTATTTGTTTATTTTCTTATTACATAACAAACCATGTTCTTCAAAGAGCCAACATATTTACTGCCTTTTCCTGTAGGTTGTGCTTTTGATTTTGTCTCTTGTCCAAGGTAGACTTCATAGTCAAGACCCGGTCAGTCACAGCCCTTTGTTTTTGGTTTAATGCCTGCTATTGTCCTCTTAAAATTAATACATTTTTGACTCCACGTTTTCGTCTTGCACTGGGATCCATAAAGTGTGTGTCGAACCACACACTTTGATTGGAGTTGAACGGGGGAATGTTAGTTCGTGGTGTGCTAGGTGTCTCTCTGCCCAAATCAGGGCCAGCGCCCTCAGGGGAGCAGTTTAAAGGACCCCGCGGTGCATGTCAGCACACGCTGGGTTTGCGGGTGGGAAGTAACTGTAACACGTTTTCAGCGCGCTCCTGGCAGGCCACACAGCACGCCTGTGTAGATTGTCCACGGTCCCCTCCGCCACACTCCAGCTTCTGATTCCCGAGCATGAAAGACAGTTTTCTGGACAGTTGTTTATTATTTATTTGCAGCAAAGAAGAAAAGCAATTATCCCAACCTAAGCATCGTTTCACAATCTGAATTCAGGTTTTCCGAGGTTGAAAGGCTTCCACCATGTACGCCAACTCAACAGGGCAGCAGCAGTCTGCCCAGGATCAGGCCTGCGCCGGCTGGGAGCTGCTGGAGATCGCGGAGGGCGCTCGCTGGGCTCCAGGGCTGAGCTGCCCCTCCCTCCGCCTTCCTAAGGGGGTTGGGCGGGGGTGGGGCGGCGAGGGCTGGCAAGGCGGTGGGGGGCTGGGGATCAGCGCTCTGGCTGAGCGGCCCGAGCCTCTGGGGACTCGGGGGCGCGCAGGGCCGGCAGAGCCATGGAGCCGTCCTGGCTGGAGACCCGCGGCGCGAGGCCCCTGTACCTGGCCTTCGTGTTCGGCCTCGCCCTGGGGCTGCTGCAGGTCATCAAGCTCTACCTGCGGAGGCAGCGGCTGCTGCGGGATCTGCGCCCCTTCCCCGCGCCCCCAGCCCACTGGTTCCACGGGCACCAGAAGGTAGCTGGCAGGGAGGGGCGCGGGAGGGGGCGGGGGTGCAGCGAGACTGGCGGCCGTTCCCCGCCTCCGCATCCTGCCCGGCCTCTCAGCCGGGGCTGTGGCTCCCGGCGCTCCTTCACCGCGGAGACTTGCGGCAGGGAGAGGCCACTGGGGGCTGGGAGGGAGCCATTCAGGGAGACAGAATACTGAAAAAGAAAGCGAGGGTAACTCCAGTTGCTTTGCCCATCTCTTCCATTTGTGCACTGCATTGTATTGTTTCAAAGACCGTTATGGATTCCTGAATAATACTTATTGATTGCAAAAATGTGCAAAACTGGACACAATCGTGGGCTTTCTTAGTCCATTTTAAGCAGAAAAAAAAATTG